AAAAAACCGAGCGTACTTAACGTCAGTAATGGTAAAAAAAAGATGAAAAAAAGGGTACCCCGTTAACTGGAGTCATTACGCCAACGTTCGAGTTACGCGTGGATGCGCATAATGCAAAAATAACCACGACACGCGCCTATGTGTATTATGTTGCACGTGTAAAATAATGCGCGTTGACGAATGGCTTGGGAGCAAAAAAAACAGATTCACGAAGAAGAGAAAAAAAAAAATTTAGCAAGGCCCCTTTTACAGCCCTCCGTTCATACATACCCCCTCTTGTGCGAGGTTCCCACTAAAAAGTGGGTTGATTCTGCAGACAGGCCACGGTGCGATATCTGCAATCGGTGGCCGCACGGAACGTCATCATCAGCGAGCTAAAGAAGGAAAAAAAAGAAAAAAAAAATCCGAGCCTCGCCCAGATAGCCAAACACCCATCCATCGTACTTTTGTCGTGTATAAATGGGCCTCGTGGCGCTGTTGCATCTGTCGTCACGCCCCTACGCGCTTCCATCCGACGACGGTGGCGGTCCTTAATGTTTTATTACTCAATCATGAGGCATATATACATGTATTTGGTAACACGTACACACGTACGGGGTGTGCAGTATATATTATGATGTACACCTATACTGATGGGGCGCCGAAAGATGAGGCGATATTTTTGCGCGCGGGGATCGTCACCTCCGCGTGTGCCAGCCAATTATTCATATGCATGCGCGCGAGCCAACCCCGTCGCACGCGTACCTCGTCGACCCCCTTCACCCCCCCCCCCCTCAACTCGTCCCTCTGTGCTGAAATACACGTCATGTGTGTCATTCTTCTCTTTGATGAGCTATTTTTTTTTTTTTTTTTTTTTTTTTTTTTTTTTTTTTTTTACTCATAAGTATGTACAATATTTCTTGATGGGTCTCATCTTCGATGGTCCTCGTATGAATAGCTCGGGTTGTTATTAACATTGCTCCGTGACAATGGCAGCGGAAACAACGGCGCTTTTTTTTTTCAATACAGTGTTAAGCGTAATTTTATGCTTATCTATCCATCTACTTGGTAAGTAGGCTTGTACTGTAATGTAGGAACACTCAAGCTTTTTTATTGCAGACAGATGCGAGAGTTCAAGTCAGTAGCTGATACTCCATAAATTGTGGTATATTATGAGCACACAAAAATGATGGCCTTCATCATATCTCATTATTTTAACGATTGCGCATATTTTATACTTTTACATGTGTACAGGTACATTTTTTTAGTTAAAAAATTTGTATTGACTTGCGATGACTTTAAAGTCTTTGAATGATTTGAATTAGATAACTGTTAAATATTAAGTGTCATTAGCCTCTTCAATTGGGTTATTATAAACTATGTGTCGTCATCTACTGTGCTACGTCGACCAAATATTTTTTTTGTTTCGACATACCTATAGGTGTGAAACTTTTTTCACATCAGTTATTTGTCCAAAGGGCTACATACATGTGTGCCTTGGGGAGTCCACTTTGGTTAGTTTTTCCTGGAAACAATTGCACGGTCAAGTACTTACTTGGAGAACTCGTCGGATGTAGGTCACGAATTTCAATGAAACTTTCGGATAAGTTTTCGTATGCCAGAACATGAAAGAACTCGTAGAGTACTACGCTCTAACTCCATATTGAAGTGCACCGAATAAATTTCTGGCTTTTTTACCTTAACCACGTGCATTTAACATATCACCTCTCTCACGTGGAAACATTAAAAATCAAGAGGGTAAAAAAAGAAGGTCTCGAAACTGATTTTACAATAATGACTCGCTCTTTCGACAATCGACGAAAACAAGTCGAGAGTGTTAATGTCAAAACATCGGCATCAATATTATCAATTGGTCTTCGAAGGTGTCAAATCCGAGCCAAGGTTGGATCGATACCGACTTTGTTTCTCTGTTAACCTGTTTCGGAAGGGTATACATACAGCGATATGACGAGTGCACGTACGTGGAGTAATAATACACGCGCGTACGTATATATGGTCTTGTTAGAAGTTGATCAATGGAGGCAAAGTCTCGACCCTTCCTAAACGAGGAAGCCTCGTGGCGTGACGGCGAGGAACAATCACGCAAACTTGCCCCGACGGTGATCCCGGACTTTTGCCCGGCCGAATTGAATTCAACTCGTCAGCGGGGCTTTGCCGAACCAAAGGTCCCGTCCAACGGTAATTAATCGTAGAAACTCGTTTCCTCCATAACCACCTTCTCTCCTATACATATATACCAGAGATGACTTACCCGGTCGTGGCGTTTCAACGATTCCTCCTCATTTTGACGCCCCGTCGATTCCCTCCACCAACAAAATTAGCTCAACTAGCAGCGATGCATCCGCAAACTGGCTCGAGCGAAAAACAAGCTCAAACTTCGTAAGAGCAGCCTCTCTCCCCCTATTAGCGACGGTATATCTATGGCCAAACGAAGCTCGAAAGGATAGTCGCGCACAGCTTTGGAGCGTGGCATTGTCACGCCATCGGGCATCAACCGAAGCGAGGGTACATCGGGGGAGAGTGTACAGCAAAGACGATGAGCTCGGGGTCGAGGGGGAGCGTGGGCGGATCGAGCGTCTAGTGTTACACGTGCAGCGTGCGCCTCCGCCGGTGGTTAACAGCCTGTGTTGTACAAGAGTTTATATATATACATGCCGGGACAATGGCACATACGGGCCTACGTATACACCTCGGGAGCAGCATCTGACCCCGGATACGGCAGTGTATTAGCGCGTCGCTTATACATTACAATATGAATGTCTATATACATGCTTGTCCCTGGCTTTCCGACGATCCCAACCTTATAATATTATGTACACCGGGCGTGGGGTGGAGTTGCACGGTTATATACCGCTGGATGCGACGTCGGCACGCGACACACGTCTCGATTGACTCGACATCGGGGGCATGTACTCCTTACGCGCTTTCTTTGTCTCATCCTACTTCTTCGTCTCCTTTGGGTTTCCATTCATTGGTATTCACCGTCCCCCCGTTTATACGGCGTGCATCAACAACACTGTACACATCTCGCCGTCACTCCTCCTCCATCCCCCCCCCCGAATCACTTCGGGGGGGAGATTCGACGCGCCAGTTGTTGCTTATACCGATGTTCGCTTCATTTCTTTGGAGTGCGAGGCTGATGGGCTGTATACCGTACGCGTTAAGAGTCTCCCCCCCCTCCTTTTTTTTCATACTTTACAATCGCTCGAGATGATTTCTTCGGTCGACGGTTTTGATTGATCAAGACAAATCTTGTACTTGCTTCGCGCTTTCGTGGGATCTTCCTTCTCGCGTGTTTTTGTAAAATTAAGACAATTACATTAAGCAGGTACTGCTTTTAATAATACCACAGACCACTTACTTTTCGCAAAAAATCGTATAAAATTTGTTTAATAAAAACCAAACATTTATAAATAGGTTTCTGTAAAAAGTGAGTGTGAGAACTGAATTTGTTATTGACTAATGATTAAGGAAACACCGTCTGATGTTTGAGACGAAACGAAATGTCACACGCATAAGTAGTGTGTTTGCGAGACGCATGTTTTCCAGCACAAAGAGGATGGAAGATAAAGAGAAGAGGAGCACGACAGAACGGTGTTACGGATACACCGTGCGTTGTATGCAAGGTCACTTCCGAGTGCGGAGTGATGGGTTGACGCCTAATTTCCTGCGAGAGGAGTAGTTACACCCTATACGGTGGATGATGCATCGATCAAACACTCGGGCGAGTGTGTGTACAAGCGGAGGACGAAGCTTTCGACGAGATAACCGCGTGTACGCGCGTTTAAGTGATTCGGGGATTATAATTGCCCGAAGGTTGGACTGGCGTGATTGAAATCAACCAGGGTTGGGAAAAATTGTTGGATCCATGGAGGGCTAATCCTGTTATTGGGAATGGTTCCTTTACCTGTCAATTTGTTTACGCAGCTTAGACAATCTCTTTACATTTTAGTAGTTGACGCAAGTCAACTGTGTACATCCAAAAAATCTGAGTCTGAGCCAGCAACTATCGTTAAATACCACTACAAGTTATTGGTACGAAGCATAAAAATCTATGATGAATAATGATTGAAAACATTTTACGTGCCATTGCTTGCACGAACCTTCAAAAAACAAGATAAAAATTTTCGTAATGGTAGTAATAGAGAACAAATATATCTTCAATTTCTCAATACAACTTCTCAAACCGGTTTGCTAACGTGAAATGCCAATAGATCCCAACGCGTAATTTCCAAGTTATACAGCTGTATCGATCGAATGATATCATGTTACAAAAAGAGATACGTCTTCTGGCAAATCTGAAACAATTGTTTCACTCGAGCGCGATAAGCACAGTTATTTATGATCGATGAAAATCAAGCGAAATCTCACGAGGATGCGATACGCGCAAGGGCCATAGGGAGGGGGCTTGGCGCACGATCCTGTTTGATTAAAGACGCCGTATCATCGGCTGTCAGCACTTGTGCTGCACGTGATCGGAGCCTAATCGCTCGAGTGTCAATCGCAAAAAATGACTGCTCTCCCGATACACAGGCAAGTTTCACGTCTGAACATAGAGACTTTCAAACTGGCTGCTATAGTATTAGCTCGGCAAGACTAAAGATCATAGAATAGGGACACTTTTAGATACGTAGATAGGTTTTCCAGTCTACCTGATTCGCCAGTTTGTCTCGCACAATGAAACAAAAGGGTAATCCGGTTGCGTATCTCATTATACTCGCAAATGCATATCGCGCTCAAGATGATTCGGCAGATTTTTTCCAGGAAAAAATAAAGGCATACATACGCGGTTGACCAGTGCGTCGATATGTATCACACGTATACGCGAGCCACAGCCAGTCGGCCGATAAATTTCACGTGCTTGGAGTATATAGGGATAGAATTTCGCTGGATCCCCCCCCCGATAACAAAGACAAGAGCGGCCCGTCAGATAAGCGCGAGGAGACGGCGATCTAATCGGTATAGCAACTTGGCATCATCAGTTGTTGCCCCGCTTCCTCGAGTCACGGACACCACCAAAGCGCTCGTACATGTCTGCGAATATCCTACGCCATGGTTGCTCTCTGTCAGCGAATTTCGGTCCGCTGCCCAAGTTCGGCCGAGGGAGCAGATCAATTTCCTGACGATGGCATATTCGGTAAGTCGGTGATTTTGCTGTTGCTTTTATATGATCACACGAAGCCAAGTGCGGATGGAAATGAAAAATCCATCTGTTGTGCAAAGCCGCAAATTGGGTGTAAAGTCGCTTGTGGCATTTTAATCGGACGGTGTATAATTAAAACAGCGACCTTAAAAACTGGTACATACCGTAATGAGCAAAGAGCGTTGCGTTTTATTGGGCGTTCGCATGAACGACAGCGTTGTATTATAATGTAGAGAGCGCGGTGAACACTATTGTTGTCGTGCGGGGGTCACTATGTTTATATTCCGCCTCGTTTTCCATAATCCGCAAGTGTGTGTACGTGTGAGACTTAAACTTCGCGAAGTGTGTATTTACCTTATCTATCGACTAGTCCGAGTCCTTGTCCCACGATGTGACACGCGAACTGCAAGAAACGCCTCGCATGTCTCGACCAACGACTTTGTAATAAAAAGCTAGAGTATCTCGCTGGTATCGAGTTTTTGTTTCGTAAAAGAGAAATAAAAAAAAAAAAAAACATCTTTTTTTCTCGTGAAATTATTGATTTTCCCGCGCAGCTATTATTTTAGTGTATTTTATTTCACCTTTAGCGTGAATAAATTATCGTATATACCGAGATCAGTGTATGTTGAATCAAAATTATTAGCACGTAATCGACGATACTGAGAATTTAAAGAGACGCCAATCAAAGTTTGAAAAAAAATGTTTTTTTTTTTTTTTTTTACATTTCTCAAGTATCGGTGTAGATAACAATGGACAGTTAGTAGTGTATACCGAGAAAAATGCGTGAGTGTGTTGTATCTCTCGATATCGTCGCATAACACACTACATCGATAAACCTGATTCGATCGCAAAAAAAAAAATCATACTAACCATCAGGTATAAAAGAGTCGATTTCGCAAAAAATAAGATAACAATGATATTTTTCATTACAAGTTAATCATGTAGTATTTTTTAAAAGAAACTTGGTTCGATCCTCGGCTAAATCAGGCACCTCTGATTTACATCATGTGCTTAAAATAGCTTGATCAACCCCCATGTTTGGGTAAAAAAGTTTTAGAAGATTATCGTTACATACACACAAATATTCAAACGTGGCATGTTGGAGTCTTGCAGGTGTTCGAAAGTCAATAAAATAGCACAAAATTAGCAAAATTGTTTAAATTTGAAAAAAAAAAAAAAAGAATCTTTGTGTATGCGTGAAATATAATTTAACAGAGACCTGCAACTTATCCAGTTAATACGTACAATACAAATATAGTTAAAGACCCGAGCTTAAATCAGGGATAATTTTAACAATACATCCAGACACACAGTACCCCAATTTATTTACAACTACTTACAAAAAAAAAAAAAACACACATTTGATTAAAAAAATGAATGGAGCATATAATTTATATAACACTAAACACGCCTTCAATCTTTACTCGTATATATTTGTCAAAACAACAGTACACAACGCGAGGAGCTCCAACACATCAGATTTAAAAGTATTTCAAATGTCTTTTCGACAACTAAAAAAAAAAAAAAAGAATGAAATTGAGTTGTCACCTACGGATCAACCAACTAAAGAAACAATGCCGCGGACGATAAAAGTAAACGCACGGTATTTAACGTACAAAGGCGCGAAAAACAAGGGAGGAAGAACGAGCTAAAAGGATCAGGATTGAAGCGAGGAGGAGGATCGTACTCCCGGCATCGATTTCCGTATGGGTATATATATATACGCCGAGGATCAGCCTGCAGGGGGAGGTGGGGGCCGAACGAGCGAATGAATGGATGGACAAGCGAGCCCGGCGAGTGAATAAGTACGAGGGCGCGTCACGCACCGCGGATGGGCGCCCGTGCACCTAAAGCCGCCCGAGATGCTCGCACGCGGGGCGCCGTCGTCGAGTACACACGTCGTGTATTGGTGGTACGAGGGTAACCATCAGCGGGACGTCGCGCGGGGAGGGGGAGAAAAATGAGTGAAATCCATTAGAGGGGAGACTCGACGGAGAAGTCGTTAGAGAGTGCGAGCATGTTTCACAGCTCGATCCAGCATCTCGGCGCCTCGCGCCCCGTATACACCCATACTCGTACAACTTTTCATTTCGCGCACTTATACGTATACATTTATGACACATGCACGAGCGCACGGTGTAAATTGTCATAAAATCAATAGTTGTCGCTTATGTGATGCGAATAACGTCACGTGCATCGCTAATGTGATTTTCGACTACACGCGCGTGGGCCAATGAAAAATGAGACAGTCTCTCGAGCGAGGACCTTCCGCGCGACTGGATTTTTTTTTCTTCTTTAATACTCCGAGAGCCTTATTCTCTTTCTTCTCACGCCCATCAGCGCTTTTCAAGCGCGAGACAAAGACTCGTCTGTTTCAAGCCCGCGTTTCTCGAAATCGTCATTAGCATTATCTTCTTCTTCTTCTTTTTCTTCCTTTTTTTTTATGATCCTCCGTATGCCCCTGCAGCTATGGTCATCTCTCCGTGATTTTACGGCTCTTGTCTCGAAGAAGGGACCGAGTGTTTTCGGAGAGGTGAAAGGAAACGTCTCGCTTTTTTTTTTTCCTTCTTCGTTAAGCCTCTTTATGCTCTTTTGTAAATGTGACTGCAGCCATGCGTATACCATGACGCGGGGGATGAGAGAGAAAGGCTTCGTGTGTTTGGTTTGGGACACTTTCCCCCCCCCCCCACTGTAAAGACGAATCGCGACGATTTTTTTTTTTTCCAAGAAACGCTCGTACGTTTGTTCAAAGTGTGCGATCGATCGGTAAAAATTGTATCGATCGACCACATGGTGAAACGTAAAATACAACGAGGCCAAAAGGAACTCGAGATCATCGCGAAATCGCTTGGAAAACGTCAATACGTTGTACAAACAAATCGCAATAATATACACCGTATACAAGCACGAGGGTTACACGTACTGTATACGCGTGACAATAACATGACATGTATTATAAGCTACGTATAGGTATAAAGTGTACGCGTATTCATCGGTGGGCAATCATATATTTTTTGAACGAGCGTTTGATCATCGTTGAATCGTCACGAGAGCCTTGGACATGTGGTCCCTCTCTCTGGTGGTGGCGGGCACGGTCGCAGACAGATTCGCGGGCTGGTCGGCTTGTATTTATTATTTACTTTTTTGTTTGCCAATGCGAGCCGAGGATAATTTAGAAAACAAAAACGCCCAGAGTAGGTATACATATATGCGTAAGTGTGCCGTAGTGCGTATGTATATACATATATACTCGCAAGGGCGCGGCCATCTGTCGGGCGGGCGAGCACTGGAGGATCACGCGGAGGGGGAGAGGATGAGGCACCGCGCGCGCATTAAGGGTCGGAGAGAAAAAGAGCATCCTTTGAGCGCGGGTGCATTGCTTCGAGGACCGTGGAGGGGGTGGGGTGGGTGCTCCAGTGGCTCGTCGTTTAAGCCCTTGTGGCGTGCACGGAGCCCGTGTATCCGGAGCAAGTGGAGTGCGATACTTTTCACGAGTGCTCGTTGCCACCGTCAGCCCGTACGACTCTCCGTGCGTAATATTCCTATCGCTCCCTTCCCCCTCGTCTCCCTTTACGCCAATTAAGCCGCTATCAATTTCGCTTTTTTTTTTCTTCCGAAACTTTTAACCGATACAATGCGATTTAACAAGCTTGTCTAGGCCTCGATGACAATTGTACACACATCCCCCCCCCAGTTTTTTTCTTTATTACTCCCTCTCTCTCTCTCTCTCTCTCTCTTCATCTGAAGAATATACTACGTGGTTTGGTAGGGGTGTGCGCGGGTGCTCTCTAAACTACTAATTGACGGTGGATATTACTTTACTAATTTGAACCTGCAACTTGCACTGTTAATGAAAATACTGGGATTTTTTTTTTTCGTACAAATGTGTAAAGTATAGCCGTAAAATATAACAGTTATTATAGTTAATGGGAGAAATTTGGATTTGGATGTTGTACTTCACGATCACTAATTTTTTTTTTTTTTTTTAGTGGCATTTACTCTAAATTCCAGTCACTGATTAACTATAGTTGTCATCGCCAATTGGTCGATCTTACACCTGTCACTTTAAATAAGTTAGTTCAACGACTGAAGCAGCTCACCACACTATGATTCAGTTTTGCACAGTTTCGACAACCACGTAGCGTCAGAGCTATAGTCACTGGAGTTGCAAGTGTAAAAATGACGTCGACGCTACGTTAAATTGATACAGTGATTTTTATTACTTCACGGTGGCAATTTTGTACTGTAGCCACGGAAGCGCCCTCAAAGTAATTAAAATCACTCGTCGCGAGTCCGCATCAAGGAAATCAAGCAAAACCTTCGACACGAAAATTCTTCGATTACGAGTTTAGGTCACGAAAATAAATAACCCCGTTAGTTACACGAAAATATGAAAAAGCATTTACATCCGACCGTGTAAAATCCCACGGATGGCTGACACACAGGTGCAAAAGGATCGCGGTCGAAGGGGGGGACGGGGGTGGCTGTTGGGTCAAGAGTCATCACTGGCTCGGATTTGCGCTGAGAGTATATATTTATAACAACACGCATATACCATACTCCCAGTCGCGTTCACGCACGTGTGTGCAGCCTGTATATGTATACCATGCGTATATATATATAAACTGTATGTACGCTCGATTCTAGCAATTACGAGGGCCTCGAGTGTCCTCAGACGACGGGAGCCCATTAGGAGGACGAGAGAAGCTGAAAGGGGCGAGCGTTTAGCGCAGCAGGCGAGCTGATCTTTGCGCGGATATACACATCATACGTATATATATTTTTGCTCGCTTGCGACTCTGTGCTCTGCTCTATTTTTTTTTTTTTTCCTTCTTTTCAACCCCCTTGGATCCTTAATTGCAATATGATTTTTCCGTTACCTGCCACACTTGGGGGGGGGGGGGGTGAGCGGTTTTTAGGTTTCTGTTGCGAATAATCGTATTAAAAAGTAGTCCAAAGCGGGAGAAGTTCGCGTTGACGCTGTACCTCCCTCC